CCACCTCAACAACCCCTCTTCAGCCCTCTGACTAAAAATTTTATTAACTCCACACCTCCTAATTTGGCTCCGAATTTTCTGCATAATATTTACACCACATATTGCCCTTAGATGGGACATCTCCATTACAGGTCTCCCTCAACATTCGTGAGGGTTAGGGGATCAGGAGCCTCGCGAATGTTGAAAAACCGTGAATGTTTGCTGCCCCAATATATTGTAGGGAAATCTAATACAACCTATAAGAACATAAGAACGGAGGAACACTGCAGAATGCCTACTGGCAGGTCCTTATCAAAATGACCTCTAACCAAAGCTACCCAAGAATTTACTCCCATACCCAATGACACCAATCAAACCCAGCCCCTCCCACTCATATAGTTGTCCAATCTCTTTTTAAAGCTGCCCAAAGTCCTAGCCTCGACCACCCTACTGGGAAGATTGTTCCACGCATCCACAACTCTGTTAGAAAACCAGTACTTACCTATGTCCTTTCTAAGTCTAAATTTATCCAACTTAAATCCATTATTCCTGGTCTGAAAAATGGCAGATGAAGTTCAATGTGGTAACACCGAAAATAGGTTGGAGGTTTCCATTGTAGTCTTCTGGTTCTTCGTTGTTTCTGCCTTTCCAACAGTCTTCTTGATCCTCAGCTTGGTTCTATGATGTGCAGCCACTGACCAGGTTCCCCTCTTAACTTGAGGACTCACAACAGGATTACTACGAATCCTCTTGATCTCCTTTGTTAATTGCTGCTTAGCAACCCTAAGCTCCTCTTTTAACTGCTGGTAGAGTTGCTCAAGAGAGGGCATCCTGGTTCAGATTTTCAGAGAGCACACAAACAAGTCTTCACAGAGCTAAGTACAGGTCACCACTCAAGCTATGTACAGGTGGCAACTTAATAAATGATTAAACTCAGTTAACAAGGTATGTCGATGGTAATAATAATAATAATAATAATAATAATAATAATAATAATAATAATAATAATGCGACTAAAATGCCGGGAACAAGAGGCTAGTAACCCCTTCTCCCATATAAATTGCTAAATTTAAGAGAAACTTTCGTTTTACTTTTTGGGCCACCCTGCCTTGGTGGGATACGGCCGGTGTGTTGAAAGAAGAAAGAATAATAATAATACTTAACAGTCAATCTGGAGTGGTTTAATTGTCAGTTAACAAAACCTGTACAGAATATGTATGACATTTGAACTGCTCCAGAGTGATTATTATTTATTAATATTATTATTTCTCCATGGGGAAGTGGAACAGAATTCTTCCTCCGTAAGCCACGCGTGTCGTAAGAGGCGACTAAAATGCCGGGAGCAAGGGGCTAGTAACCCCTTCTCCTGTATAAATTATTAAATTTAAAAAGAGAAACTTTCGTTTTTCTTTTTGGGCCACCCTGCCTTGGTGGGATATGTCTGGTTTGTTGAAAGAAAGATTATTATTATTATTATTATTATTATTATTATTATTGTTGTTTTTATTATTATTACCATCGACATACCTTGTTCCCTGAGTTTAATCACTCAGGTTCTCCCACGAGTCTGCATTTTATGCCATATGTGAACTTGGGTCATGGAAATGGGCTGCACGGCGTCACAGCGTTGAGCATCTCAGTCTCCTTCTTACAGCCACTGAATAAACTAGCTTTTGCTGTCTCCAAGACTACACGTTTGTACAAATTTGCACTCTATTTTGCCTCCCATAGTACAAGATGTTGGCAAAAAGTAAGATCTTGACTTCACCTCAAGGAAGGGCCAAGAAACAAAGGAAGGCTCTCGATCTTGTGGTGAAAATGATTATAAATGAGTATGAAGCTGGTAAGACAATGACAGCCAGTGACTTGAAGCTGGCTTATTCTACCATTTCCACTATCTTGAAGGATGAAGATAGAGTGAAAGAGGCAGTGGAAGCCTTAACAGGATTTCAAGCCATAATAACTAGGCAGCAGAAGGGCCTCATTCATGAAATGGAGAAATTATTGGTGCTCTGATTTGACGATCAGATACAAAAAGAATGCCAATAAGCCTTTTAATTATTCAAGCCAAGGCATGCAGTATCTTTGAAAATTTGAAGGCACATGAAGGTCTCTGTGTAATTCATGGCTCACTGTGCCGTGTGGAGACGACTCACGGCACTATAAAATATTGCATAATTATACTATTACTGTCAATAAAGTTATTTATCTATCATATTTATTCCAGAATAATATTAGTTATAACATAAATAATATAGAGGCATGATTAAGACACCCAAATTAATAAAAACCAACATTATATAGAGAGGTATTGAAGGGTAGAGGGCAGGGAGAGAGAAAAAAAAAATTAACTGCGACCATTACAGAAAACATTACGCACTATGTGCCTGAAGGATAACTATGGAAGATCACTCTTATCTTATGCAAAGAATGAAAAAAAGTGCGATTTTCTCAAAAAAATTTTTCTTCCCAAAGTAATCGGCTATGCACGCATATCCTGGAATATCTCGGACATATTTTGTGTTGTATTACCGTTAATAATAAACAGATAGAAAGGAATTTCCAAGCAAACATAAAACTGAATGTTTTAATTTTGGGTGGTGACACTTTTTTGAAGTGTCAGTAAGGAGTGATGCCTTGATTAGCGACAAATTTGTTTACTGACGTGGTCTTAGGATTGGAACTCCATCATTAAGTGAGGAGAGGCTGTATATGGTTTCCTACTGTCTTTGGGTATCCATGGCAGGTCTTGGAACACATTTCCCGTGGATATGGGGGTCCTACTGTAATCTCATTCTTAATATCTGTAATTCTCACAACCATTAAAACATTGATTGTGACCACATTGTTATATTCTAGAATCCTCATTACCTATAATTATAATAAAACTTGTAATTCTTTAAACAATTAAACTTGGTAAAAGCCACATAGCATGTACTAATAGAATATTCCATTCTCTTGTATTCATTGTAACTCCTAAACTTATATTTACAGCCACCTTAAGGACTATATATAAAACCACTCAATTTGTCATTGCCTTATTAATGTTAAGTTAGTCTTCAGTTTCCCCAAAATTCTCTGCATATTAAGGAGCTTTCTGCATGTACACCTAAATGTCATTCACCTCTGTACAAACATTGTATCTTGCTGAAATAAAGTATCTTATCCACTTGCACGCATCAAGACAGCGAGTAAAACATTTTTAGTATACAGTGGACCCCCAGTTAACGATATTTTTTCACTCCAGAAGTATGTAGTTTCAGGTGCCATTACTGACCGAATTTGTTCCCATAAGGAATATTGTGAAGTAGATTAGTCCATTTCAGACCCCCAAACATACACGTGCAAACGCACTTACATAAATACACTTACATAATTGGTCGCATTCGGAGGTGATCGTTATGCGGGGGTCCACTGTATATTTAAATGTTTATACAGTAGTGTACTGTATATTGTAATTAACAGAATAAAGGAAATCAGCTCTTATTATACATTATTTAGGTATGCATTCTGGCCAGAGAGCCCATCGTAGGTCTGAGTCATCGGTAAATGAGTACATTGCTAAGTGAGGAGAGGCTGTATATTTTTTTTTTACATTGGTTGTTTCCCACCAAGACAAGGTGACCTGACAAAGAAAAAAATGCTTTTACTGTTACTCATTCAATCACTGTCTTGCCCATAAGAGTACTGACATCATAGTTCAGATGACCCTCCAAACCGAAGTAGAGTGCAAGTACACCTACCATCCGACTTACGACCTGCTCGACTTACGACCACTCGACTTACGACCGTGTTTTTTATGCCAAATTTCTGGGAAATAAACAACTATTTGTGCTGTACACAGTGTTTATCCTAAACCTTACAGTATAAAATACAGTACTAACAACATAAAAAGTAAAGTAAAACATGAAATACCAAAATAAAACAATAAAATAAAGTCATTACAAAAATGTTTTGTTGATATTCAGTAGTAAAGTTCGACTTACGACCGGTTTCTCGGAACCGAACTCGGTCGTAAGTCGGATGGTAGGTGTACTCTACTTTCCACCTCCAGGCCTCAGGTCTGCATAATCAGTTTCCCTGAAGCCCTTCAACATGTCAAATTATGAAAGCCACTCGCCTGCACTTCTGTATTAACGTGCTCACACAAACCTATTGGATATCCATGTCTCTAGCATTCAGAAAACCTCCTTTACCCCTTCCCTCCAACCTTTCCTGGGATGACCCCAAGTTAATATGCCCTTCTAGTCATCCTATTTTTCCCCATCTTCTCTAACTGCCCAAACCATCTCAAAATCCCTTCCTCAGCCCTCTGAATAATACTTGTAACTTCACACCACCTAATTTCCAGACTCCTAATTCTCTGCATAATATTCACACTACACATTGCTCTCAAACATGACATCTATGCTGTCTCTAGCCTCCTCATTGCTTCAACATTCAAAACTCATTCTTTACAGCCATACAGTGATGTTGGCACTTACTGTACTCTGGTACATTCCCCTTTTTGCCTCTGTGGATAAAGTTCTTTGTCTCCACAGATACCTCAGTGTAAAGGAAGTGAATAAAAGGAAAAATAAATGTGTAAATTGTTTGGATTCATTTTGATTCTGTGCTGGAAACTGTAAACATTCCATATATATGTTCTTAACTCTTGTTTTTCTGATTGCTCTATATATTTTTATTGCTGTACTTTCTTTACCAAGATCATTTCTGGATACAGTATTTATGTAAATTAAAATGTTTATTAAATTATTTATGAGTTTTTTGTATGTTTTTAAAAGGTGTATGAAAACTTTTGATACAATTATTACTTTGAAATTAGGTTGCTTTTAAAGGTAGCAAACATAATTGAAATGTGTGGAAGCTTTCCAACGTTGTTTAATGTGAAATATGGTAGCTTTGTTATTTATCCAGTTATTCGGTAAATATTGCCCTGGTCAAATAAGTGTGACGCATGCAATTTCTGAAACCCTTATCATTATTAATACTGTGAGAGTGTAAACTTCTGTATCTTACAGATGGGGACAAAGAAAAGAGGCCTCTCAGTGAAACTTTTGCTCGGAGATTGGAGAATATAAATGAATCTGACTTTAAGAGAGCATATATGGCCAATGTTCATGGAAACCAGGTAAATCAGGCTTATTATGTATATCATGCACTTGCATTGTCTGTTTTGAGATGAAAGCATATTGTTTGGTCTACTAAAGGAATCGCTTGTTGGGGAATTAAAGTGAGTGCCCCTTTTTCCCGCTGATGGTTCTGTTTTTGGCAACATTCACTGCAGGTCACCTGCTGATCAGCTCCAGGTTTGCCATCATACCCCCATGTAGTGAATATTTTTTTGCATTCTTTGAATTTCTGTAGTCCTTGTACATTTTTTTTTTTTTTTTTTACATGCCAGACAATTTTATTTTTAATGAAAGCAAATGATGGCAATATCCCTTATAAGATAGCCAGTTAGATATGTGGAATTCTCTGATGGATGTTTTGGATGTTCCTTAAAGTTTTAGCACTGAAACTTTATTTGAGGGTGCTTGATGCTGGTCGAGGGCTTTTGATACAAGCAATTGGAGCTACCCCCACTCCTTTCCCAAATCAAACCTGATTACTGGACCTCTTACAAACACTGACCCATATTGGTATAACACTTCATGATGATGGTGGTGGTGGTGATATAACTATCACCAGTTGAGGGCAGTTTAGGCATTAGATAATGGTTCTACATGGGAAGTTTCCTGAGGAAACATGGAATAAAAAATACAAATAGACAATCATTATTCTCGATATTCTTCAGCTGTTCAAACTTGTCATTTCTTGGTTAATAAGCTTGTTCTCCATTGTAATGTAAACCATCCATTCTGCTTTACTATTCACCTTACCATTGTTTTCTTTCATTATTCTGCTTCTCTCTGGTCTTTTAATGTTTATGACCATAATCCTTAATCTGTAAGTTGTGTATGATGTGCTGGTATGCAGGAGACCTGTCTGTGCATGAAGTACTTGTATGTTTAATTTTTTTTTGCCTTTACATATGCTGACTGCTGCCATTTTAGGTCTCCTACCACCACATCATGCCTGGAAAAAGCATGAGGTGGTGGTTCCATGCAGTGGACCATTTCATAGGTAGTGCTGCCTCACTAGCACATGTAAACAATTCAGCCAAGAACTGTTGTTCCACCACCAACATCCCTTAGCAGCAAAGAGGATGTGGAACTAGCAAGATGATGCCATGTTTATTTCACATTTATTATAATTTCATGATAATGTAAAATTCAGCCAAAAAACACACTGTGTAGATTTAGCCCAGGATAACCCATTACAATCAAGTGTGACTTCTTTCCATGTTTTGAGGAGTATCACATCTTCATACAATTGTAATATCCTAAGATTTCCTTAGTGCATATACATTTCTTGGGCTTTCACACTTACTTTAACTATGTTCAAAGCATTTACTTCACATTCTAAGGCCATGTCCAGTCAGAGCTTGTATGTCATTATTTTCTTGGGCATGGTCACAAATTCTTGCTTTGCTTTCTTCAGAATTCCAGTATCACTGTTGTATTAATTCTCTTGAATGCCATGGTTAATAATAGTAATGAAGGAGGTGAGGGAGATTCAGAAGTAATTTATTATGCAAGAGGTTACTGATTCATCCGAGTAGAAGGACAGCTGTTTGAGGTGTAGTTGCTTTTCCTGTGGATCACAATAGCACAGCCAGGGCAGAGTGGATAATGGTAACATATCACGTAAGCATTTGACATACCTTAGCACTTAGTAATGTATGAGCAATGTAACTAGTTACGTATTCTGAAGCAGAGTGGAGCCTTGGCTTACGAATTTAATCCGTTCCATGACCTTGTTCCTATCCTGATTTGTTCGTATACTGAGTCAATTTTCTTCATTTAAATTAATTGAAATGCAATTAATCCGTTCCAGCCTCTCAGGAGGCATGACAAAATAATGCTAATATCAACTCTAAGGCTTAGTTATCTATCACAATTCATCTAATATGACATAATAAACAATATTAATAACATAGAAACATGATATATACTCTAGAATGAATAAAATAGGCTATAATATGGCAAGTGATGGCGACGCCGGCAGCGACAGAAAGCATCCGCCAATTACTCACCCACTCTTGTATCTTCCCAGTCCATAACCCCATACCTAGCTTGTGTTTATCTATGATTAGTGGTGAGGTTGTCACATACGTAGCCACAGGGGTGGTCAAGACAGATGTATATATAGGTGAAGACACGATCACTGTGGCCACAGTGGTGGTGGTGGTGGCAGTGGCCACAGTGGTGGTGGTGGCCAGTTGCCTCACTCTATGCTAGTGCCTTCTTTGTTTCTCTAGCTTTTTTCATAGTTTCTAATCACTTCCTGAGCTTCTTGCTGATTGTACGTGAATACTGTCTCTTTGGGTGAGGCATTGTATAAGAAATTTGTACAATATAAGACAAAATTATGCATCCCAAGGGTCTGCTGTGGTCGCTCAGAGTGGCACACCTCTTCCTATTAACCCTTGGTTCACACTGAGATAGCTGTGGTCTTGAAGTACCTACATCCACCCACAGGGTTACCAATTTGTATTTTGAAGCATTTGGCACAAAAATATGAAAAAAAAAAAATTACGAGAAATGTCTAAAAATGATAGCATATTATTATTACTATTATATTGTATTATTATTATTATTATTATTCTTAGTATGTACGTATTATAATTATTAATACCTATTATTATTATTATTGTTATTATTATTATTATTATTGTTATTATTATTATATGGGTGTGAAGCTTGCGTGGTAAATGCAGCAGCAAGGAGACGGTTGGAGGCAGTGGAGCTGTCCTGTCTAAGGGCAATGTGTGGTGTAAATATTATGCAGAAAATTCAGAGTGTGGAAATTAGGAAAAGGTGTGGAGTTAATAAAAGTATTAGTCAGAGGGCAGAAGAAGGGTTGTTGAGGTGGTTTGGTCATTTAGAGAGAATGGATCAAAGTAGAATGACATGGAAAGCATATAAATCTATGGGGGAAGGAAGGCGAGGTAGGGGTCGTCCTCGAAAGGGTTGGAGAGAGGGGGTAAAGGAGGTTTTGTGGGCGAGGGGCTTGGACTTCCAGCAAGCGTGCATGAGCGAGTTAGATAGGAGTGAATGGGAGACGAATGATACTTGGGACCTGACGATCTGTTGGAGTGTGAGCAGGGTAATATTTAGTGAAGGGATTCAGGGAAACCGGTTATTTTCTTATAGTCGGACTTGAGTCCTGGAAATGGGAAGTACAATGCCTGCACTTTAAAGGAGGGGTTTTGGGATATTGGCAGTTTGGAGGATATGTTGTGTATCTTTATACGTATATGCTTCTAAACTGTTGTATTCTGAGCACCTCTGCAAAAGCAGTGATAATGTGTGAGTGTGGTGAAAGTGTTGAATGATGATGAAAGTAATTTTCTTTTGGGATTTTCTTTCTTTTTTGGGTCACCCTGCCTCGGTGGGAGGACGACCAACTTGTTGAAAAAAAAAAAAAAATATATATATATATATATATATATTATATATATATATATATATAATATATATTATATTATATATATTATATACAGGGAAGGCCCCGCTTTACGGCGTTTCACTTTACGACGTTCCGCTAAAAACGGACATTTCAAATTATGACCAAAAATCGCTATACGGCTCCCCCCACCTGACTTTCTAATACGGTCACCGTGCCCCACCCTGTTTGTTTACATTCTCCATGAGCTCAGTAAGCACTAAATCTCTCCATTTAGTCTGGAAACTCCAAGATTTCAAAAATTTTTAAAAGTTATTTCATATTTTTTATATACTCTGATAATTATACTTATGTATACCTGTACCTAAATAAACTTGCATACTGTGCTGGCATGCAGGTACACATTAAAAATTTGGTTTAAGTGTCTTATGTCTCCAGACTCATATTAGTAATGATAATAAAATCATCGAGTCATTTAAATGTCGTATATTACGTTAATATACACATTTTCTTAATCCATCCATGATATTTTTTCAAAATTATATAATAAACACGATGCAAAAACATATAAATAAGATAAATACACCCCACAGTAGAATAAATAAACATAAATGTGAGATGTGGTAGCAGACGACTTGCACAAGTGACGCCATATTAGAAATGATAATTAATAATAATAACAATACTCACCGGTCTCATTAAATGTCGTATATTACGGTAATATACACTTTTTCCCATTAATCCATCCATGATGTTTTTTTCAAAATTATATAATAAACACGATGCATAACATATAAATAAGATAAATACAGTGGACCCCCGCATAACGATTACCTCCGAATGCGACCAATTATGTAAGTGTATTTATGTAAGTGCGTTTGTACGTGTATGTTTGGGGGTCGAAATGGACTAATCTACTTCACAATATTCCTTATGGGAACAAATTCGGTCAGTACTGGCACCTGAACATACTTCTGGAGTGAAAAAATATCGTTAACCGGGGGTCCACTGTACACCCCACAGTAGAATAAATAAACATAAATGTGAGATGTGGTAGCAGACGACTTGCACAAGTGACGCCATATTAGAAATGATAATAAATAACAATACTCACCGAGTCTCATTAAATGTCGTATTTTAACGTTAATATACACATTTTCATTAATCCATCCATGATTTTTTTTTTTAAAAATTATATAATAAAACACGATACATAACATAAAAAAGATGATAAATAAAACCCCACAATAGAATAAATAAACATAAATATAAGATGTGGGAGCCACATAACTTGTACAAGTGACGGCAAGAAAACATTTTCTCTAATCTAACATAAGAAAAATTTGTTACTGGGGGTAACTGTAGAAAATTATTCCTTTCGATGTATGTAAGTAAGTTTATTCAGGTATACACAAATACAGTTACATAGATATCATACAAACATACTTTTGTAGAGAACCTAGGATAACCCAAAAAAGTCAGTGTGACTTTTTTCCATTGCCTTCACTCAGAGCTTCATTTCTTCTCAAAATAGTTACATGAGAATGGGAGTGTTCTCTTTATTAATTCACTGTATCAATGTAGAGACAACCTGTACACAATGTAACTTGTACACAAACC